GGTGGCCAGGGCTGGTCTGGTGACAAGGAAGAGTTTGCTGTGTCCCCCAGAGAGTTGTGAGGAACAGGAGGGGTGGCAGGCCGGCTGCCTGGCTCTGCTACCGCATCAGTCTGTGCTGGGTGTGTCAGTTCCCAGTCCCACAGCCAGGACTGTGTCAGCACAGCCCCATGTTCTCATGCTCTGGAGCTCTGCAGTCGCACACCGGCCCGTCCAGCTGTAATTCAAGGCAACAAAGAGCGCAGAAGCGGCGCAGTCTCTGTTCACCCGCCTGCGTGTTAACTCTGAAGCAGACTGATGGCTCAGAGCTGAGCTGCAGGATCTGCTCTCCCATCTCCTGGCTGTGAGGGTGCTGTGGTTCCCTACTGACAGCTTCTCTCCAACTACCTTCTCCCCAGGAACGCACCAACGTGGCCAACTTCCCGGGACACTCGGGGCCCATCACCAGCATCGCCTTCTTCCGAGAACGGCTACTCCCTGGCCACGGCGGCCGACGACTCCTCTGTCAAGCTCTGGGACTTACGGAAGCTCAAGAACTTCAAGACGTTGCAGCTGGACAATAACTTTGAGGTGGGTGACTGTCCCCTTTCCCTCAGCTCCTCTCCCAGCACCCACCATCCCCAGCCCGCTCCTGACTGCGCTCCTCTGCTTTGGGGCAGCCTGACGGGGAGGGGCTGCCCCCCAACATCCCAAGAGGCTGTTTGGAGCTTCCTCAACCTGATCTAAAGCTTCGTTCTCCTTCTTCTCCACAGGTCAAGTCTCTGATCTTTGACCAGAGTGGTACCTACCTGGCTCTGGGTGGGACAGACGTCCAGATCTACATCTGCAAGCAGTTGACGGAAATCCTCCACTTCACAGGTGAGGGGCTGGGGTTGGTGGGAGGGCAGAGGTGGGAGAGGGGCTGTGTAGATCCCTCCAAGGGGAGAGGAACCGCCTGGCTCTGCCTGTGTCCCCCCCACTCGGTGCTGTAACCAGGGGCTCTTCCCTCCCCAGAGCACAGTGGCCTCACCACAGGGGTGGCTTTTGG